TTACAAATTATAATCCACGACTGACAGGATGTGTGTTGGTCGGTACATAATTATAACAATCATACAATAGTCCTTGTTGGAAGCATTTCCGTGGTGGTCTCTAATTTTGAGTGCCGGTCTGGGCCGACCAGTGTGACGAGATCCCTGAAATAGAAATGAACCATAATTTTGGAGCCAACAGGCAAAATTTGAGTCAATTTTTCCTAAAACAAATTTGGCTATTTTTGTCCCAATCTTCTTATGGAAAGTTCACTATAAACTTATATATTTTGTGATGAAACAAGACACTTCGCGATGAGCGTCTTTTGCGGTCAGTAATATTTACGAGCAGATTTTTTTTAATACGTTCGCGCCAAATGTGTCTCACTCTACCATTCTGGGATTAAGTAGCTTATTCTACTCAGCTGGAGTGTTGGCATAAATTTACTGTTTTTTTATGTCTATTTTCATTATCGAGAAACTTACCTCAAAGTTGGGGTAACTTTTCACCAGCAGCTTTTAACTGCTCTGTGTTTTCTTTTGGCTTGGTCGATTTTGTTCATACTTTACAGGCAGGTAGTCTTTATTCATTACCGAGAAATTTGACTCTTCTGTGATTTTTTTGGTTGGGCCGATTTGGTTCAAACTTGGCAGGCAATTCACACCTTCAAGCGTTTCCATAGCAACAGCAAAAAAACAGATTTTTTTTAATACCTTCGCGCCAAATGTGTCTCACTCTACAATTCTTGGATTAAGGTAGAGATGCAGTTTATTTGGCTTGCTTTTTAATTGATTAATTAGCCAATGAAGATGGTATTATATGTCCAACATGTTATATATTTTCTGAAAGCTTATTATACAAACTTTGTAAAACTTGTCTTTATTTTAAATATCCAGAATGCGTTTTTGATTTTGGGTCAAAAATATGCTTTTTTGGACAAAAGTGGTTTAAAAAAAATTAGCTTAAAAACTTCAAGTCCATTTGTGGGTAAAATTACATCACTGGATACCTTGGTATACTACTAATTCAAATGCGTCCACTCATCTCTCTAACGGCTTTCAAAGTCGCACAGCATGACCTCAAAGTTC